ACATTGCAGTGTTAAGAACATACATAGCAGTGAAAGGAACAGGAATCAAATTTTGGATCCATCACAGGTGTGGAAAAGGTCCCTGAGTCCAGACAAGATGCATGGGATTCACACCCATCTGGAAACGTGAAGTTCTGACTGACTGAGGATATAAAAGTACAAAGAGCTCTGTCATTTTTTTAATCTCTTTATGTAACCTAAAATGTACAAGTTAAGTGCTTTTATAACATGTTGTTGTTTTATGGTGATCCAAAGAAACCTGATTTTACAGCTTGTCCAATCATTTGGGAGAATCCACAGCTCCGTCCATGGAACTGCTGCTTCCCCAGTGCCACAATCAGCTGAGGACCCTTTGGATTGGGGAACTTCAGGATTAGATTTAAATCTAAATTTCACACCTGTGTTGGGTAACGGTTCTGGGATTTTAAAACTCCCCCTGAAGAAAGAGAAGACATTTGGACCAGGAAAATGGTCCCTGTGGATGGATGATCACACCCTAAATTGACCCTGGCACTGATGCTGGGCAAAGGGACACGTCCCTCCTTCAGTCCCCCAAACTCTGGGAGGATTTTCCACGGGGATTAGACATGTCCCAAGTATGAGAAGGGTCAGAGGATGGGAAGTGGTATTATTTGCAAACCATTTCTTGGGGCATGGAAGGAGTTGGGAACTGGAGAAAGAGAATCCCACCATCAGACATTGCTGACGACAGAATGAGAGGCACAAAAACCACTCACAGTTGAATTGCATCTGAGAATTTAACTGCTCAACTTCCAAAATACAAATACAAAGATTGGGACCAGTAATAAAAGCTATTTGGACAAATACAGTTAAGGAAAATATCCCTATTAGGTGTAAAATCAACCAAATTCCACCAGTGGGACCTGCAGTTGGGTGAGTGATGACAGGACATGGACAACCCAGCTGCCTTTCCAGGGGAAACTGAAAAGACAACTTTAGGAATATTAACTTTATGTCCTTTGTGCAGAAAAAGGCCTTTGGAAAAAAATTATCATAGAATCACAGAACAGTTTGGGCTGGAAGGGATCTTAAAAGTCATTGGTTCCACCCCTACGACACAGCAGGGACACCTCCCACCAGCCCAGGTTGCTCCAAGCCCCCTCCAACCTGGCCTGGGACACTTCCAGGGATCCAGGGGCAGCCACAGCTTCTCTGAGCAACCTGGGCCAGGGCCTCCCCACCCTCTCAGCCAGGAATTCCTTCCCAATATCCCATCTCTCCCTGCCCTCTGGCACTGGGAAGCCATTCCCCCTTGTCCTGTCCCTCCAGGCCTTGTCCCAAGTCCCTCTCCAGCTCTCCTGGAGCCCCTTCAGGCTCTGGAAGGGGCTCCAAGGTCTCCCTGGATCCTTCTCTTCCCCAGCTGAGCACCCCCAGCTCTCCCAGCCTGGCTCCAGAGCAGAGGGGCTCCAGCCCTGGCAGCATCTCTGGGGCCTCCTCTGGACTCTCTGCAGCAGCTCCACGTCCTTGTGCTGCTGTTGCCCAGGGCTGGAGGCAGCTCTGAGGGGGGCAGAGGGGCAGAATTCCCCCCTCCCCTTCTGTCCACGCTGTGGGATCAGCCCAGCACACAGTGGGGTTCTGGGCTAGGGCATGTCCAGCCTCTCACCCACCAGCACCCCAGAGTCCTTCTCCCCGGGGCTGCTCCTGAATCTGTTCATCCCCCACCCTGGATTGGTCCCAGGGGTTGCCTGACCCAGGTGCAGCACCAGCACTTGGCCTTGTTACATCTCATGAGCTTCCCATGGGCCCAGTTCTGGAGCTTGTCCAAGTCCCTCTGGATGGCCCTGTCCTTCAGGAGTGTCACCTGCACCCTCAGCTTGGTGTCACCTGCAAACCTGCTGAGGGTGCACTCAATCCCTTCCTCTACATCATTAATGAAGATATGAAATAACACTGGCCCCAGTAGGGACCCCTGAGGGCACCACTGGTCAGTGATGCTACTTGGGACTCTGAGTCATTGACCACGACCCTCTGCATGTGACTGCTCACCCAATTCCTTGCCCACCTAATGGTCCACCCATCAAATCCATCTGTCTCCAGTTTGGAGAGAAGGATGTTGTGGGGGACCATGTGAAAGTCTTTACAGAAGTCCAGATGAGTGACATCTGTAGCCTCTCCCTTGTCCACTGATGGAGTCAGTCCATTAAAGAAAGCCACTGGGTTGGTCAGGCAGGACATGCCCCTGGTGAAGCTGTGTTGGCTGACCCGAGTCCCATCGAGTCACAGAGACTCACGTACATTCAGGTTCCTCAGGTGATCTTTGCTTACAGTGGAAAGGGATTTCACTCCTCCAGTCCCCATCCTGCTGCCCCTCCACTTGAGAGGTGTGGGAAGAGAGGTTGCTGTTGGAGACTGAGGCAAAATGTTGTTGAGCACCTCAGCCTTCTCCTCATCTGTTGCTAACACTTTTCCAGTGTTGTTTATGGGGGTAACACCTTCTTTGACCTTCCTTTTCTAGTTAACAGACCTGTAGAAGTCCTTCCTGTTATTCTTTTTATCCCTTGCCAGGTCCAGTTCCAGCTTTGCCTTGGCCTTCCTCACCCCACCCCTACACAACTGAACTGCATCTCTAGGTTCTTCCCAGGTTACCTGTCATTGTTTCCACTGCCTGTACATTTGCTTCTGTCCCTTTAGTTTGGCCAGCAGGTCCCTACTCAGCCCTGCTGGCCTCTTGCCTTCCTTGCCTGGTTTGCTGCTCCTGGGGCTCACCAGCTCCTATGTTCCGTGGAAGATTTCCCTAAACATCTGCCAGCTCTCTTCAGCTCCCTTGTCCTGAGGGCAGTCTCCCAGCGGATCCCACTGACTGTCTCCCTGAAGAGCTGGAAGTCTGCCTTCCTAAAGTTCAGGGGCCTAACCTGACCCACGTCCCTCTGCAAACTCCCCCAGTGCAAGATCACTGCAGCACAGGCTGCCCCCAGCCTCCCTGTCCCCAGTTAGCTCACTGCCATTGGTGACCATCGGGGCCAGTATCACATCCCCTCTGGTGGAGCTATTACCTGGCTCAAGAAGTTGCCCTCCATGCATTCCAGGCATCTCCTGGATTGTCTACAGCTCACTGTGCCCTGTAGGGGTGGTTGAAGTCCCCCAGCAGGATAAGAGCCTGCGAGCTCTTATGGGGAAGAATAAAGAAATGATGATGATCCCTGGAGACGTCCTTGAGCTGGAGCTGCAGCAGGGTGGGCGTTAGAATCCATGCTCAGTGCAAAGATCACCTCTTCCCAAAATCCATGTAGGGTTACAATTTAACTGGACAAGCATAGGGATCAGCAAATGCCAGGGGGTTTCTCGAGGAACAGGCTGGGCAGGGAGGGCAGTGACGGGTGACAAGCCTCTGGAGACAGGTCACAAGGAAAAAAACTGCCCAAATTGGAGAAAACCACAGGTGGGGCTCTCCTGAGGCTGGGGAAGCACCCACGGATGCTGAGGGGCTGCTGAGTGCTTGTGAGTCCCTCTCTGTCACCTCTGCAGGGTGACAGGAACAGAAGGACATCCACGAGGGGTGGAGAGAGGCAAATGCTGCACCCCAAATGGCTGGTGTGGGAATGGAGAGGCTGAAGGCCCTCTCAGTCCCCAGGGACCACCCGAACCCTGCGAGGGAGCAGATGGTGATGGGGAGCAGCCAGGCTGGGGTCAGTCCCCAAAGCCACATTGCCTCTGCCGTGAGGGACAGCTTGGGGATGCAGGAGAGCAGAGATG